GATAGGAAAAAGAAAAATTTATGCCTTTTAAGTTTTTTTTTTTTGTTTAATAATTTATTATCGTATGATATATATTAATCATGCATGTTACCTATCAATTGTTACTATCTCTCTTAAAACAACCAGTTCCTCCTTACCTTCCATTCTATTCATTCATTCCTTCATTACTGATAATGATAAAAATTAGATTTAAAAAAAGGGAGGGAAAAAATGATAATAATCAATGATACCCAGTTCTGATGATAAATTAAGGGAGAGAGAGAGAGAGTGAGAGAGAGAGTGAGGAGGGAAAAAAGTGAAGAAGAGATAAGATGTAGAATTTTTTTCTTTTCAAGTTTGAAACAAGAAGAAAAAATGAAAAAAACGCAAATTTTTATTGTTTAATGAATCAAAAATAAAGAGAAAAAAATTTTTTTTCCAGCAGAGATCTAGTGAAAAAAAGAAAAACATTGAGTTAGTTTATTTGTGTTGATATTTTGTAAAAATTTTAGAAAAAAAAGAAACTAGAGAAAAGAGCTAGTTTCTTTTTTTTCATTGTAATTAACTAAATGAGTGATTTAGTTGGGAGACAATATAAAGTGTTGACAACGACAATGACAATGATGACAGTGATGATGAAGATACAAAAAAAAAAAAGTTATTTTCGTATATTCGATTCCTGAGTGCATTAATTATAATAATTAGTAACGTCCGATACAATGCATTTGATAAATTACATTATGATAGAATAAAAACACTACAGGAATCCCTGAACATAGCTAAATGACACATACACACACACACACACACCACACACACACACATACACACACGCATACACACATACATATGTATATCATACGTAGGTAAATTAGATAAGGATTAAACTGGGTCATCTCAGGTAACAATTCAATGACAAAAATGTGCATCAATTAATAAAAGGAACGGAGAAAAAAGATAAGGAAGGAGAGAGAGAGGGAAGAGAGAAAGGGTAAAATACTAACGAGAAGTGACATTTGATCCAACTATTTATTTAATTAACAATACTTCAAAGATCAATTCAAAATGAGACTTTTGGAAAAATTTCTAATTCATTTCAATTATTCTTATTCCATCACCAAAATGATATTTTTAAATTTCAATTTAAAATAACTACTCTTTTCTGATCTTAGTCATTTCCGCCGTGGATCCATGCATATTAAGAGAACATAAATGTTGACTGGGCTTCGCTCTTAATTGGAAATGACAAAGAACCGGAAGATGAGAGTTGCGATTGGGTATTTGTTGGAGAAATGGACATCTTTGGGGTTCCCGGTATATGTTCTGGATCCAGAAACAGATTGTTGGTTGTTGTTGCTGTTGTTGCTGCTGTACCGCTTAAGCTTAGAGGTAGCAAGGGTGATAAGCCAAAAGCTGCTGCTTTAATAGCTGTAGCTGTTGCAACGCTAACAATTGGCATTTGTGAAGAAAAAAGTGCCGGATTGGAAAGTAATCCATTTAGTAGTGGCATTTTAACACCAAGCAATGATGTTGGTAATGTAGCTGCGATTGGATTAACTCGATTAGCAACTTCAGCTAGCTGTTGCAGTGAAGTTAGTAGACCCTGAAGATGAAAAGATATTTGAGAAGAAAAAAAAAACCAATTAATTAGTCAAAAATAGTAGATGAGTAACATACAAAAATTTCAGCTAAGATATTTTCCATCGTCAATGTGTAAGCATTGGCAATGGGACATATTTTCGGAAGCTTCCGAAAAAGCCAAAAAGATCAATAGGTAGTAGTATTTGCAATATACAAGATCTGTATTTTTGGTATCTTAATCAGGGCTACTATCAGAGCTTATATAACCATAATCAATTATGCATATTAATAGGATAGTCCTTACAGATTCTACAGGTTTAACAAAATGAATAGTACCTGTTGATAAAAATAAGCATTCAGCAGATTCTGCGTGTAAGATTTATAATCATCGGTAGTAAAAGATGATGAATCGAAGGTAGAACCAGCAAATGCTGCTGAACTTGTTGGTGTGGATAATGCAAGCAGAGGATTTTGATTGGTATTATTATTATTTGATCCAGAAGTACTCAAAATTGTTGCTGCTGCTGCTGCTGCTTCTGCTGAGGTTAGTTTCGATAAATGATGACTTAATGTCGAATTATACGATGGTTGTGGTTTGAAAACTGATTGTGTCGAGATCTGGAAGTATGATAAGCAAATGAAGAAATGATAACTTATTATTAAAATGTTTCATAAGTAAAAATTACATCCAATAATTAATTGTGAAAGTAAACAATGAAAGATATTTAATTGCTCACCAACACTGAATCGGTAACACTGGGTCGATATTCATTAGAACCACAATAAGTACCATCAAATGAACAATGAGCAGGACTTGTACTCCCACTATGATCACTAATTATTCCACTTCCATCCATGAAACCATTTGTATCACCTCCTACTGCTGAAATGATATTTGAAATATTTTAGAAAAAAAAAAAAACAACAGAATCCAGTTAAAATGAAGTTTTTTGGAACAATTTTCTTTTTCTTACCAGATTGCTTGAATAGATAAGCGAAAAATTATATAACAAATAGGGAGGGAGATAAATTCACAAGAAATAATCAACACAATGAATCAGGTCATCTATCACTCTGAATCATACAGTATACTGTAGCAGATTGTAGCATAATGACAGCATTACGGAAACGGTTGTACATTGATTTATGGATTTCTTCAAAAAATAATCATATACTAATTGATTATTTTATAAGTTTATAGTAACCAGTTAATTAGTTTTATCACTAATAAGTAAATCAAATTATCAAACTTTTGAAATAAACTATCCTTACAGGATACGAATATTAACAAATGGTTTGTGATTTTTCATGCATGATCTGAAGATATATCCCAAGATGATCCGTAATATTTAATGAATGATGGAGCAAATGATTGTAACCCATTATCAGATGAATTAGTTGATTGCAACAAATGAAAAATTAACAATGAAAAAGATTGCTGAAATGATCATTTTGAAGAAGAAAGGATTACCACAATTCAGGATATCATTCGCGGTACCATCAATGGATGATAGACGACCATTAAATTGGCCACCTGCTGCAGCTGCACTTGTTGATGCTGCACGAGCACCTGATCGATTTGTCACTCGGTTACGTCGTCGTAAAGTTTGCTTATCACCTAATTCTGGTACAACTGTCCAGAAATGACCTAAAATTTGACAATAATTAAAATAAAACGTAAATAAGAAAACATGCAGATGGTGAGGAAGTACAGACCAATTTTAATTTATCATCTTAAATTAAAAAATATCATTGATATCTAATACATCTATCAGATTTCAAAAGAAAAAAAAAAATTAATGAATAAATAATAGGGAAATACTTACCAACAACACCACTAGCAGATGTTTGTTTTAGAGGTAATTTAACGAAACAGTCATGTAGACTCAAATTATGACGTATCGAATTTTGCCAACCCCACTGATCCGGTCGTAAACGATAATATGGATGCATCATACGGATTACCTGTAATCATATGGATTACCTATAATTTGTTCACATCAATTATTTATAATATATGTATTATAAATGAATAAATAAATAAATATTGTTCCTTTTTTTCAAAATGATGAAAGTTTTTATCTTTTTTCTTACATCCATAAAAATTTGAAACCAAATTTATTTCCTAAAATTGAATGAAAGAAAAAGACATATAAATATAGCAATTAATGAATTGGGTCAACTTGATCTTTCTGGATCAATTTAAATAATTTCCGTCATACAACTATTATGTTGCAAAAAGAGAGAGAGAGAGAGAGAGGAGGAAGAAGAGGAGGAGAGAGAAAGGAGAAAAAGTACTTCTAGATAAATTATAACTAATAAATCCTTCTCCTAAACTTGCTTTAAACTATCAATCATTTCAATCATTATTATCAGTCTTTTTAATCTGAATAACAAAGATAGTTAAATGATCATTATAACAAAAGTAACAAGAAATGGAATAGAATATAATTCAAGTTTTTGGTTTAAAAATGAAAAACAAAAAGAAATTTTTATTTTTCATTTTTAATATTTCTTAAATGTAAATAAAAAGAAAAAGTGTTCAATAAATGAAATGAATTTGTGATTTCCTGAATGTTACTAATGGATATACAATAAAAAAAAAAAGGGAAAAGTGAAAGGTTTTTTTTTCCGTCCGTTTTATTCTTAAAATATTTTCTCACAAAGTTTCTGTTTTTCTTCTTCCTTTTTTTTCTTTTTTTTTTTAATTTTGTTTTTGCTTAACCAAAATCCACGGAAAACATTTTGACTTTCGAAAAAATTACAAAAAGAAAAAAATTATTTTCCTTTCATTTTTTAAAATTCTTTCTTTTTCAATTTACAAGAATTTATAACGGATGAAAAAGAAGAATGATAACATACTTGGTAAATTTCATTCAATTTTAATCGTTTTTCTGGACTACTTTCAATGGCCTCAATAATGAGATCTTTATAACTTAAACTTGGCCGTTCAGTTTTTTCCATTATCGTTGGTGATGGATCAGTGATCGATCTGTTATTACCACCGGGACTTGCAGTAATTCGAATCCTTGATTCGGGAGTGCTACTAGCTTGTTCCACTGTTGATGAAGACGGTGATACCGTTGCTAATTCATCAATTAATGGCATAGGTTCGGATTTCATTGATCCCTTACTTTTATTATCTTCCGAATTCTGAATAGCGGACATAATACTGTTGTTAATAACACTGATACTATTGTTACTGCTATTACTGTTGGTGATATCGTTAATGATATCGGTGTTGTCGTTGTTACTGTTGCTGTTGCTATTGTTGTTGTTGTTGTTGTTGTTGTTGTTATTGCTGTTGTTGTTGCTGTTGTTGTTGTTGTTGCTGCTGTTGCTGTTGTTGTCACTGCTGTTATTGTTATTGCCCAGAACTGCTGAACCAATTAAATCCATTAATTCCAGCGCACTGCCAATATTGGCAGCTTTTTGCGGTGATGGCGGACAGAGCTCCAGTGTGATAAGCTCGTTGTTTGTCGGTTTCCTTTTTAGTTGTTAATTAGTTCCAATTAAATACTATTAATGGTAACAGGAATGTATTGCTGTTTGATGAAGAGGACCTGTGTCTTCGCTTGAGCAAATTACCGATTTTCCCTAAAACAATAATAATAATAATAATAATACTTGAATTAAACAATCTTTGTGTGTATACAGAAAAAAAGAGAGAGAGGAAGGGAGAGAGAGAGAGAGAGAGGAGGGAGAGTAGGGAGGTAGAATACGAGGGAA